AGTCCACTGACTGCATTTCCAGTTAAAACTCTACTGAAGAGGCAGACAGACAGGGAGTCTATGACGGCGGGGTTTCAACCTGATGGCATCGGGAAATATTTTACCCCAAAAGAAGTGTTTTGTTTTAAATGGGGGGAAAAATCAGGTGGATGCTATGTTTTCCATCTCTTGGGCAACTGTCATTTTAAGCTGAAGTCTCAACACGATGCTCCCTCATTAGTTCCAAATGAAAGTTCATTACCTAGACAGTATGAATATTTTATTGCTTTATATCCCTTTTTCGGAAATGAAACGCCTTTGATCTTTTTCTCGGGTTGTAAAAAGAATTGCCTGTCATTAAAGAAAAACCTGTCGTCCCATCTGCCTTTACAGTCTGTATTGCTTTTCATCCGTTTCTTTCTTTTTATCATTTCCTTTAAAAAAACAAAAATACAAAAAACAGCAACCCTTGAATGACCTAGAGAAATTCAGAGCAAAAACGTGCCGAAATATTTCTTCTCTGTGAAGCCAGGATGATAATGACGCGCACAAGTCCGAGGGAGAATGAAATAATAACAGGTTTTCTTTCAAACAAGGACTGTTTGGGTCATTTGATGTTGGGGTTTTTTTGTTGGTGGTGGTGTTATATTATTAAAGGATATTATCGAGGACTGATGTTCTTGGAAGGAAATGCTAACCTAATGTTCAAAGTGAGAACGAATAGGTACTGTGTTATTGATGTAGTCAGATAATTGCAAGTGGGTGTGTTTAATTATTGGTGTGTCCTCTGGAAAGCGAAACTTTTAACCATATTTATCTATAGATTAATATCGTTATTATTACTGTGAAATAGAAGATCTCTGACCAAGGAAGATGCATCTGTCTTCTATATGTACCCTGTAGATCCGAATTTGTGTAAAGGAAGTTGCGTCACAAATTCGTATCTAGGGGAATATGTAGTTGACACAAACACTACAGGTCACTATCCCAGAAGGAAAACACCAAATTAAATAAAAGGATGAAAAGAAGCCTTGGCCAGAAAAAAAAAATCGTTTTATAACCGAAACAAAAAAGAAATATTTTCTCATTTACCTAAACTCCCAACTCTAAGCCTCCCACGAGAAACTTTATCATCTCTACGTAATCAAAACCTGAGCGGCTGTGGGTGTCAGAAATATTACGTCACCGAAATTTGGGAGGGGGGGCGACGACTCTGTTGCTTTAATCTGTATATAATTGCAAAAATGACACTAGGTATAAATAAACGGAGCCAATAGTGCCCTGGCGTTTCTGGAGAGACGATTTCGCGCTTCAGGCTGACACAGCCTTGGGAGCGCCTGTTTAAAAACCGGGCTCATTACCATAGGAGAGAGCGGAGCTGCTGGTGAACCGGGTTATGTTATATTTAATTGTTGGTGAAGTCCTTTATTCCGGGTTGGCAGGACGGGTTGCCTCCCAGCCGGGGCCGGGCAGCAGCCAATCTAGCACGGAAGTTAAATGTGATTTAGGACGCGAGGTACCCCGAATTAGTTGATGAATTTTCTATCGATCCCAAACACGCCCTATTTATCTCTGCCACTGCCCCCACTCCAACGCTTCAGATCACCTACATTAAGAACGAAATTTAAACAGCAGCCAGAGGGATCTCAATGCATCATCTGCCAGTGCATTCATTTTGATCCGGGGCTGAGCCTCAAATGACTGAAAATAATCTCTCTCTCTCCCTCTCTCTCTCTCTTTCTTGCACACCCCACTAAGCCAAGTCACACCTACTGAAGCGAGTGGGTTGTGCGGTTTCTAAAAGTGGTGAGGTTGTGGGGCTTAGATTTTTTTTTGTTGGGGGGGGTGGGTTGCTGCTTATCTGGGTAAGTAGCTCGGTGCCAAGGCACAACATTTCACCCGGGCTGCAGATATGTAGATATCGGTGGTTAGCAAAATAAATAAATAAATAAATAAATAAAAAGAAGAAGAAGGAAAGAAAGCAAGGACCCCAAACCCTCCTCTCTGAAGATCCTACCGGAGTAAGAAAGCCCCAGCCGGAGCATATTTCCTTATCCGGGAAACGCATGGATCCTCGCTATTGGCCATTGGTGTCACATGGACTCCTAACTTTGTTCACTTGACAGTAAGTAGGAGGGTTTTACGAAACAGGAAAACGAGTAAAGGGGGACAGGAATAAATTTTAGTATATTTTTTTTTCGGGTGTGCAATTCCAAGAAATTAATGGCCATGAGTTCCTTTCTGATCAACTCCAACTATGTGGATCCCAAGTTCCCACCCTGCGAAGAATATTCTCAGAACGATTACCTTCCCAATCACTCTCCGGAATATTACAGCAGCCAGAGGCGAGAGACCACTTTCCAACATGAGGCGATGTACCAGCAGCGGTCAGCCTGCAACGAACAGCCCTACTCATCTTGTCAGGGCTCCGGCCACCAACCAGCGGTGCTATCCCCCAGGGGTCATGTTCATCCTCCTGCCGGACTCCAGAGCCATCTCTCAGAGCCAAACCATCACTGTGAGTCGGTCACTCCCAGCCCACCACCCTCCTGTAGTCAAAACTCTATGAACCAAAGCCCTTCTAATTCCTCTTGCAAAGAGCCAGTAGTTTATCCCTGGATGAAAAAAGTCCATGTAAGCACGGGTAAGTGACCTAAAGTGGCTTTTGCTTTATACCATCTAGCACCTCAAAGTCTTGTGGAAATCTTATTGCACCAGTTGTAAAATAACCATTCGTGGAGATTTACGATCGCCTGTTTGCAGAGCAGTATAATTACATCCTCCATAAATTTTTATTGCTCTACTTGGCCAAGTGCCTTTGAAGTCTCTGTTACCATCCTCCTCCAATTTCTTGCAGGCTACTTTTTTATGGCTGTTGAATCTTCCTAAGTTAAGTTTTATGTTTTCGTAATTTGTATTTAAGTGGTGGGTTGAGTAAACTTTTACTATTTCCCCCCTTTCCATTTTTTTTTTGGTGTAGTATTTTAAAAAAAACCCAACCCCAAACCACAAAGAGATAGAGATAGGAAGAGAGAGTGTTAGGGAGGGAGGAATTGAAAGGATTTGGGGAAAATCGAGTGATGTGGAACTCTATAGCACGGAGGCTATGGGTAAAATGTGTCTTAAGGAAGCTTATAAAAACGTTTAGACAGGAATATACGTCAAGGAGTCAGGCTGGAGGTGGGGACTTGGAGTTAGGTTAAAGATGTATTTTTAGGCGGTGGTGGTGCTTCTCTCTGCTTTTTGAGCATTCCCTCCGCGAAGGAATGTGTGATGCTTATCTTTTTTTTTAAAGGAGCAGCTCAGTAATTCTTATACTTCTTTTTCTTCTTTTCTCGCTCCCCGCCCCCCCCCCTTGTGTTTGCTCAGTAAACCCCAATTACACAGGAGGGGAACCGAAGCGTTCGCGGACAGCCTACACCAGGCAGCAAGTCCTGGAGCTGGAGAAGGAATTCCACTATAATCGCTATCTCACCCGGAGGCGCAGAGTGGAGATCGCCCATTCCCTGTGCCTGTCCGAGCGCCAGATCAAAATATGGTTCCAGAACAGGAGGATGAAATGGAAAAAAGATCACAAGTTACCAAATACCAAGATCAGGTCTAATTCTTCCAACTCCTCTGCAAGCCTGCAGATCCAAGGAGGTTCTCAGAACCGATCCAGTGGACCAGCCACCAGCCTATAACTGTTCCGCGTGTGTGTGTGCAAGAGAGGGAGAGAGCGAGCGAGCGTGGACGTGTGTGTTTTGTGTGTGTGCGTGTTGTGTGTGTAGGGGGACACATGATAATTTTTATGTTCCAAGCGGGGGAAGCAGGAGGGTGCTCTTTATTTATAGCAAAAGGAGGGAAAACGGAGCTGCAACAAAGCCGAACTGCGGCGCGGTGCCTCTCTTCCATTAAAAGGAGGCTGTAGATAGTAGTTTTCAGATTTGGCTAAGATGGATCCCTGTTTCATCTTTAATCACGCCAAACTCTGCCCCATTTGTCATGTTTACTCTCCCGTACAAAGGATGGACCTTATGTCTGCTATTACCTCGACAACCAGGGTTCACTTTAATAAATGAGGCTCCGTTTCTTCAAGACGAGCTGGATTTTCTTTTTTTGCTTTCTTCCTTTCTCTCTCTCTCTCTTTCTCTTTTCATTCTCCTGCCTACCAGCCGCAACACAAAAGTTTATATTCAGACATCCCCTCAAAAAAGCACAGCAGTTGTGAGAGCTGTGGCATGGCCCTACACAGCAAAAACAAAGCAAAGCAAAGCAAAGCAGCAGCAACAACAAACCAACAAAAATATTAATAATGAAAACAGCCTTCAGTTACTCCATGCCGTGGGACCACTCTGGAGACTGAAGAGATGTTGGGTGCTGTATTAATCAGGGTTATACCCATAGAGGGAAAGGCATTGGCACCATTTTAAGCACAACAAATACCGAGTGAAATTAGTTGAAGGAGGGGAGACTAACCGAATGGACCACCCCTCTCCCCGCATTTTTTAGTCCAGCAGGTTAATTACCTCACTTGTAAATCTTGGAGGGGGGGTATGTATTTGGGTTAGAAACGAGACGATAAAATAATGCCACTTGAATTTAAATTCGCAGCAAAAAGGTCGGGATGCTTTGCTGCTACGGATCAGTCCATTTTTGTACTGAACATATGCTTGAAAGGATGGAGGGGAGAAAAAAGAGAAGGGAGCATTCACTTCCCACCGAATATTTTTTTCTCTGGTCTATGCCTGACATTCCGAACTGGTGCGATTGCAGAGGACTTTTGAGATCTTTAGTATCTCCTTCCAGTTTTCCTTTGAATTACCTCCTATTGTTCTTTGTGATCTCCATGCTGACTTGTAAATAGCAGAACAAAAGGCAAATAGAAATAAATTTTGCATTGTGAATATGATCGTGTGTGTGTTTAAAAAGAATAGATTTTTTTCCTTTAAAAAAAAATTAAAACTCTGTGTTAGTTTTACCAGGACTTCTGTTGTCAATTGCAGATCCTCAACTCCCTAATGAAAACAAAATGTGTTTGACTATAGGGTATATCGGCTTTAAGTACTGCCAGGCCTTACATATTATGATTTATTTGTTCTAAGCATATATTAATACGGTTACATGATGTTTTCCCCAACTGGTTTCAGCCAAAACAGTTTTGGTCATTAAGTCTCTACCTTGTATTAAGGGAGCGGTGTATTTCTCTGGAGGGGTTTCTTCATTATATAAAAAAAAAGGTATCTCCTTCTCCAAGGTATTTAATGCATTAATGAGTATAATTTTTGCACAGATGTTTCTCGGTGTTTGCAGGTTTTCTGTGTATTTTTATATTACAAAGGAGCTGGCTACTGCAATAGCTCAAACTCTGACAAGCAAATAGATAATCAAGAAGACAAATGGCTTCTTTTGTGAGCTACAGCTCTTGTATTAATTTTCATTTTCTTTCTCATAGAAAGTATCGAAAATACTGTTCAGGACGAAATAACATTCCAGTTCTAAGTTACAAATATAAAAAAATGGGGGAAAGGCCTCTGGACCATATGAAGAAAATCATCCTTTTCTTATACAACCTTTATAAGAAAATGGCCTTGGTTTATATGCTAAATGTTTATGAAATTCTTTCAGACGCTGCATAATGACCAAAATACTCCATGAAAAACAAAAGCCAGGGCTTGGCATGTTCGAAGTGATCCAGCCTGTTATTTACTCTCCTTGTTACATGAAGCAATTTAAGCATACCTGGCAAAGAAACTGCAGGGAGAGGCCCCACAAAAATAGAACTCCTTCCTTATATCTTGTATTCTATTGCCTGTTTAACACTTTTGAAGGGATATTGTCGTGGTCCTATGATACAAAACACGACTTCGTGTGGGCACCTTGGGTTTGGGAATGTCTTTAATTCACTCTTGTGTTTTGAATGGCAAAGAAAAGTGCAAAACTTGTTCGTTTTTATTTCGGTGAGGACTGTATTTATGTTAGAGGGTGATTTGATTTTTTTTTGGTTAGAATTTTGCTCTGCTCTGTAAGGTAAAAGCGATGTATTTTTCAGTGAGAGGGCTACTGCTGCTGAGAGTACCCAAAATCTCTCTTAAAAAGCATATGCTGGGAGGAATTCGAGTTCTATAGACCAAAATAAAAGCTGGAAAGTATGAATAGACTAGAGAAGGGAGCAAAGAAGATTTCTATAGGCACTAAAAGTTCACAGCCATTATAGGCAGACAGAAGCCAAGAAAAATGCGAGAATTATACAGAAAATCATTAATCACTTCTTTTCTTTAAATACTTATCCTTTTCCCATTGTTATTCAACAGCAAATCTCCGCAGACCGTCTGTTGGGAAAAAAGTACCCGGAGTCCTACCAGAATCTTCAGGGGGAATAATAATAATAATAGCAGTAATAAAAAAGCCTGGATCCTAAAGTCGAAACCTTTTTTTTTTTAACAAACAAACAAACAAACAAACAAACAAACAGAATCTCCAGTTGGAAGAAGCCACCCAGGATCATGAGGACCGTCTACGGGGCGCTGGAGAGAGGATGTGGGAACCGACAAGGTAAAAAAGCCCGGCCTCTTGGCCTGCATTTTTTATGGTTTTATTGCCTTCTTTCACGACTAAGCTTGAAAAAAAAAAAAAGAGGGGTGGAGGGCGGACACAGGCAACGTGTGAATTCTTTAAGAGATTTTCCTCCTGTTTCCTCATTTTATTTTGACCGATGTTAGAAGAGAAAGAAAGATAGCAAGGGAATGCAATGTCTACCAAGCCATCATTTGCCATTGTCTGGTGCGAGTCCGGGCTCCCTCGGTTTTGCAATGGGAATTCTTTTATCTAGGGTAGTATGGGGGGAAGGGGGGCGAGGGGGGGATCACAGTAGGGGGGGGGGGGGGGGGGGGGGGAATCCAGCTCTTGGATGATTTTATTCTAAGTGTCTCAGAGGTCGCTTTAGCGGGGTGAGCCAAATCAGGCCTCTCTTGAGGGGGTATGTGTTTGCTTGCTCGTGGTCTGCTGGTTTCTGGCCGCTCGGGTTGTGGAAGGGCTTGGCCTTCTGAGGTTCGCTCGGGTCGAGGCGGGTTGCGTGGCTTGCTGGTGGTGCCTCTCCCCCGATGCTTTACTGGGGTGGAGTGAAAATGTCTGTTGCGGGGGAGGGGGGGAGAGAAATTTTGGGGGGAGGTAAAATTCAGAGCCCCCGAGCAGCGATCGGCAAAGGGTTCACCCAGAGGACACGTTTTCTAACCGATTAGCTGAGTATTATAGCCAGGGACTGACCTCTCAAACCCCTTGACCTTTGCAAGGCTGGACATTGTACTGGGCAACATTTCCAGCGCCGGACGGGACGGAGCGGAGGGAAACTTTGCTCTGGCGCGGGGGGAGAGGGGCTTGCAACCCGCTGGCTGGGCACGGAGCCCTCTGCTCGCCCGTGTTTCTCGGGGTTGCCATCAAGAGTCCCGCACACGAGCGGTGTCGGGAGCGAGCGGGATGGCTGTGATGTCCGAGTCACCCTGTGGTCGGGTCTGGCCGCTTTGGGGCTCATCTCCAGGCGACCCGCGGCTCCGAGGTAGCAGACAAAAGCAGAGTGGAGCAGCGAGACGGCTGGGATCTGGGGAGACCTGGGCTGGCTCGGACACCTGGGTTGTTTCCCCAGTTGCAGCAGTCTATTTTGGGGGGCTGGTGATGGGGAGGGGGGCGATGGATCCCCACCCACAGCCAAGAGCCTCTCCCGCCGCTTCCCCCTCCCCTCCACCACATCATATTTATAAAGTCCTTTGTTTCTGAAGGCCGCTTTTCCTCCTCCTCCTCCCCCCACCCCCAGGCCCCCGCACCTCTCAGAGGCGCGATCTTGCCTGCTGCTCGCGGGGCACAGGGGAGGCTGGGTGGAGGTGAAAGGCAGGAGAAAGGTGGTGTGATGGGCGCCTGGGGCTCGGCTCCCTTTCAAATCATTGCCGGGGCTGCTCCGGGCCAGAGATCAGCCTACAAGGAGCCCCCTCCGTGGCGGGCGGTCCCGTGCCTGGCAGAGCCAGCGGCTGCCTCGGTGCCTTCCGCGGGAGGCACTGTCAGCTGTCTCAGACGCGTGGCAGTCTCGCCCCGAGCCCCCTTTGCCCCCTCGGCCCGTCTAAGCCCTTTAAACCGCAGCCCTCCCCTTGTGCTGCCTGGTGCATGGGAGCTCAGCCTTCTAGCCCGGGGCAAGCGAGGACACACGGCCTCAACCACGCATCTCCCAGCCCCGCCAAGCCCCGGCCACCCAGAGCTCAGGTGCCCCGCGGAGTAACCCCCGTCTCTAGCTCTACAAGGGCCCCGCAAAGACACCTCCTTGCTCCGGGGCTCTGCTCTCCCTGGTGTTCCCCCGCGGGAACACATCAAGGGCCCGATCTCTTTCGCCTGTGCTCCTCCAAACCTTTTGTTTCGGTGCGATCTGCAAAGTGTACACACGGTCCTTTGTATCTAAGCCCCTGGAGCCGTCCGATTAGCGGGGCGGGCTGCGATTTATTTATTTGGAAGGCAGAGAGAGGGAGAAAGGGAGGTGGAGGGGTGGGGGGAAGAGACAAGCACCTTAACATATAAAGCTCGGGATTGTTTTCCTCTAATGTAAATATACCTGGGGAAAGTATTTTAAGCCCATAGACCCATACATGTTCCCCGCGATAGTGTTGGGTTTCCCTTAAAAGCATCACTTTGAGGCAGCTCCGAGCTGGGTAGGAGTTTCTCAGCTGGAACAGCCTCACACTGACAGATTTATGATCCGCAATAAAAACGGCGTGTTTAAATTCGTAAATCAATCTCCCTTTCTCACTATATAAACGTTCATTTTATCTTTCCAAAGAAAGTTGCTTTGATGAAGGCACCTCGGAGGCGGCGGGGGCTGTTTATGGCTGCATTTCCTATTCTTTGAACTGCGAGCTTTTTAACCAAACTTGCTGTTCTGCAAGGAGCTTGGAGGGGTGGGGGGAAGAACAAAAAATGCAGCCAGATTTTTTTTTTTTTGGTGGGAGGGTGGGGTGTTTTGTTGGTGGTGGTTTGCTTTGTTTTGCTTTGTTTATGGTGGCTGAACAGCTTTGGATTATTCTCTCTCCTCCCCGCCCCCCCCAAGTCAAATAGGAATCCCTCCTTGTTTGGGTTTTTTTTTTAAAGATGATTTATCATTATTACTATAATTCCTTTTTTGGCTTAAAAAGATAGCTTTTGAATGTACCGCCTCGGATTGTGACCTCTTTCCGATTAAAGTAAAAAACCTTTACTCCATCAGATAAGGGAAGTTGCCTTCGCTATACGAAGGGACACACGGTTCTAGCGGAGGTCCTTCATCTAAATACAGCTTTTTCTGTGCCTGGATCCTTTTCTCCAGAGCACTTAGCTGCGGGGTTTTCGATGTTAAAGTACTTTTGGAGGATAAGACCGAATAATAATAATTTGTGAAAAGCCAAAGCTTTTGGAACGTATTTGCTACGAATATTCGTTTTTGCAACCACCCAAAAGCCCTTTCCAATAATCCTCGACCCCAAAGCCCTCCTGGATTAAAAAGGGCACATACATTTGTAGAACTTTTCATCATTGGTGTTGAGGACGGGGTCCTGCAAATCTTTCTGTCCCGGGAACCAGCCCGCTAGAAGCAGCTTAGTTTATTGCTCTTGATTTATTTATTGCGGATCCTAGGATCCTTCTACAATTTTCCCCCTGCTTTCTAAACTGGATGTGTACATTCAAATGCCTTTCACTTGCCTCTTCACCCGGGCTCACACCAGGCTATTGTTTGACCTTCTCTCTGTTAGACACTGGCTGGCTCCTTCCATCACTTCTATTGTTCAGGGACGTGAGGTGTATGTGTGTGTGTATGTGTGTGTGTGTGTGTGTGTGTGTGTGTGTGTGTGTGTGTGTGTGTGTAAGGGAAGCGGGGGGGTGAGCTCCCTTATCACCTGAACAACAAAAGATTGAAGGCACCTAGGAGAGAGTTTCTAAATTCTTAGCTGACTCCTCAGGCTTTGGATTTTAAAAGCAAGGGTAAAGCTACATGCGTGTGTAATGTATGTGTGTTGGTGTTAGCAGCTGTTAAGTAGGTTGATCCGGGCAGCCGTGTGTCCAATGCTGGGAAGCATCGCCTTGTGTTTATTTGTTGCTTAAGCAGCTCTTAGTGTATGCAATATAAGTGTCTGCCTTTGTTGCCCATTCTTTTGCAGGAGCCCGTGTTTGGCATCTCGCTGGAGAGCCAACACTGGACTCCAAAACACAACAAAAATCAAAAAGAAGGCTAAGCAAACACTA